ACTGTCATATTTGTGTAGACAAGAGTCAAACACCAATAATTCATCCTCCAAACTCTAGGCAACATATGTCAGGCTCTTGCAAGGGCTTTTCCATGTGCTCCACTCCAGTCCCCTGGCAAACAATCAGCTAGGGTGAGTTGTTCAACCTCTCCCCCTAGCAAACACCCCACCTGGTCGAATGCTTTCTTGAAGCAGCCTTACTTGGCTTCAGGTAAAGGAAAATCACTCTTGCCTCTTCAATAGGTGTGAAAACCCCAATTCTGCTTAGTCAAGGTACACGTGTTCCTTCACACCTTGTGCCTTTGCATCTGCCTGTCTCCTTGACTATTCTAACTGCCATTCCTTCAAGAATTAAGTCAAAACTAATTTTCACTAACGCAACAAAATACTAATTGAGTACCACTCCAACACTGCTTCTTCTATAATCCTAGCTGCATCTTGTGCATACGTATCATTACAGCACTATCACACTGCACTGTAAAGTGTCTAATCCCGTTTCCCCACCAGAACATGAATTCTTTGGGACAGAAATGTTCTGTGTGGTGCCCAACACATATGAGATACTCTTAAAGAGATTGCTAAATAGAATTTGTGGATAAAACACATTTGCTGAGCTTAAGCTATTTCTATTTCTTTTGAAACATCTTGCCTTTCCCTGCTTTCTTCTTTTAAAGAAGTCCTAATTCACATCCAAGATCATGAGGCTGCTCTCCATAGAATTCTCAGGACAATGGACTTTCTGAAATCAGCCTGGCTAAGAAGGCAGCTGTGATTTTGCTCCCCACTTCCATCTTATTGCAATAACACCACTGCACCACAATGCCTGGCCACGTCTAATTTGGCCAAGATCATGAGCCAAATGAACGCTGAAAGGGTGAGGTAAATAGTATAATCGGCTGACCTAACTTTAACTTAGACTCAAGTCTAAAATTCATAGTAACTAAAATAATTTAGAACATAAGGGATAAGCATGCAATCTCTACAAACATCAAATGTAGTAAAAAAAAAACAAACATGTGATAGCATTCATAAAATCTAAAGAACATACAATCTATTTTATAATGCATGGATTCAAACATCAATCTCACTCTAATGGTTTATGGCTAGGGAGATAAAACTATTTTTAAAAAATTGTACACAGAATAAACTTATAAAGTTCCCTGGTGATTTTCACTAAGGCTTCCGAGTATTTTCTTATTGAAATAATCATACAAGCTCTAGGCAAAAAGATTTGATTTTGGCGTGAGAACAATGTAAGAATTGAAACTATTTATAATGCAAAAATTTTGTTTAAAGCAGACACATCACTTCTTATTTTTCTCATTTTGAAAAGTTGCAATGTTTTGCTCAGCAACAATTTTTCTCTCATTCTATAAGAGAATCTGTACAAAAGCAATATTTCAACTAAAATCAGTTCTGAAAGATCTTTTATGAATACGAATAATGCAAAAGACCTCAATTAAATTGCCAACAAAGCACTGCCATTTTGAATAAACAAAGTCATCTCAGGAAGGTCACACTATTTGCAAGAATTGCAGCCTAGAAATTAATTACAAGTGTGATATATGTCAAAACAAATTTTTAAAAGAATGGAATGCAGTTGTAACCATGTGTTTTATCTATTTATTTGTATGCAAAACCAGTATTCTCTGGCATGTAATTATATTAATTTATTCAGCATCTCTCAGAAAAATAAAAAAGGTTCATTGGTCCCCCTGCCTTTTTCCTGCACTCAGCAAAATCTGAGTAAGTAACACATGCTTAGTGAGAAAATAAGTACAGAAGATATAGAACAGGTGATATTTTTGAAAGGCAGAAGTCATCTTCACACAAATGACCAATTCTGAAACATCCCATTTGCCTTCAAAAGAAATTTTTCAAAGATATACATCACCTACATAAAACTACACTAAAGGTTGTTACCTTACACAAATCGAAGCTTTAAATAGCAGTGCCAGTGTTTCATAAAGAAGACTATAATCTATAGTACAAAACAAACGAACAAAAAATCTACCTGGGAATATAATTAGGGATTTCAAAGAATTTTAAGATTCTGCTAATTGTGACAATATTTATTTAAATTTAAAACATTTTCATAAATGAATAGCATCCAAGTAACTCCAAAGAGAAAACGAATGTATGCAGAGTGGGCAAGTCAGGAGTGGAGGATGTCACCACAGGAAAGTCACCACAAGGAGACAGGCGGGTGCTCCATGGAGCCACCTCCAGCTCCGGTACTGGAGCTGCTGGCAGCGGCCGTCAGCAGCCAGCATTGCCAGCAGTGTTTTCTAGGTCAATATCCAGTTGGATTCACTAGACTAGGCAGCATGGGGAATCCAATAGCAAAAAAATCTCTTTAAACATGGTTATCCACTCATTATTTATGAGGTATATGCATGCAGAGTTTCAAGAAGCAGGTGAACAGGTAGTGTCCTCTCCAGCAGCATGTAGTTGAAAAAAGCTGATAGAATTATTACAGTGTTGCCTACCTGTATTAATGCAATAGAAGCCTATTCTGGAGTAAATGGAATTCTAAAATATGAGTAGAGAAAGGCTCACTATTAATGGATTCAAGTACTATTGATCCTGTGGTTTTGAAGGAATTGGCCAAAGTTGAGAAAATGGGAGCAGTTTTCATGGATGCCCCTGTTTCTGGTGGTGTGGGAGCTCCTCAGTCTGGGCACCATATGTTTACAGTGGGAGGAGCTAAAGATGAATTTGCTGCTGCCCAAAAACTGCTGGGTGCATGGGCTCTGATGTGATGTACTGTGGAGCTGTGGGGACCCAGCAGGCTGCAAAGATCTGCAATGACATGCTGCTAGCTATTAACAAGATTGGAACCACTGAAGCTATGAATCTTGGAATCAAGTTAGGGCTTGAACCAAAACTATTGGCTAAAATCCTACATATGAGCTCAGGACAGTGTTGTTCAAGTGAAACTTACAATCCTGTACCTTGGGGTGATGGATGGAGGTCCCTCCTCCGCTAATTACTATCAGGGTAGATTTGGAGCAACACTCACAGATAAGGATCCTGGATTAGCACAAGACTCTGCTACCAGTACAAAGAGCTCTATCCTCCTGGGCAGTCAAGCCCACCAGATCTACAGGATGATGTATGTGAAAGGATACTCAAAGAAAGACTTCTCATCCGTGTTCCAATTTCTACAAGAGGAAGAGACCTTTTAAGCTTATACTTTGGCTATAGACGCTGTTGGAAACCAAATTCTGTCTTGAGCCTCCTTAAAGATCACTACACAAGTAAATGAGTTTAATCAAAAAAAATCTATCTGCTTTTGATTACTAAGTCACCATAAACCGTAGGATTTTTCATCCATTTTTAACTGTTTGCTCTTTTTATCTTTTTAGTGAACATACATTATCTGAATTCTTTTTCTGTAAGCCACCCATGGTTTATGCTAATTAGCTAACTAACCTTTTTCAAATATTTGATCCTTGATCACCTTCAACTAAATCGCTGCATATTTCAATCAGGATATTATTTACTTCACTTCACAAATAAAACCAAATATTTTTCAGTAGGATGAAACTGATCTTAAAGAGAAAAACAAAAGAAATCAGTGTGGGGAAAGAAGGTAGAGAAAGGGAAAGTATAGTGAATTACATATGACCTATGTCCCTCAGGAAGTTTGTCCTGTTAACCAGGTGGTGATACTTCTGCATTACTGAGGTTATTGATTTATTTTCCATGGACTTGATAAAGCAAAAGAACTCCTTGCTACATGTTTTATAATCTGAACTCCATTACAGCCCCTTAGTGTGTCCATCTTATAACAATTCTAAATAGAACCATGTTACTTTGAATTCAAATAAATTTCTATGCTGATAATAACAAAAAAGGGTATGCAGATGTTATTTTGTGATTTAATAGAAAATTATGTCTCAATCCTTTTTACAATGTATACATATATCAAATCATCATGCTGTACACTTTAAATACCTTACTATTTTATTTGCCAATTATATTGCAATGTAGCTGGGGGGGTGGAATGGGGGGTACTGGAAAATTTAAACTCATTAAAAAAGAAAAAAGAAAATTATGTCCCAAATCAAAGACTTCTCTTATAACTCACATACCTATAACTTTTGAATTTCAAAATAGCATCTTCTACATGAGGCAAAAATTAAAACATGCTTCCTGCAGTAATATACTGAAATCATTTTGCTTTTTTAAGGAGGGGGAGGAGTGGCGGAGGGGAAGAAAGGGAGAGGAGGGAGAGGAGGAGGGAGAAGAAATTTACCACATATTAAATCACACAAGTTGTGGGTCAGAAGGCACAGGAGGTGAAATGGCTCACTCCTAGGCATACCTGCAGTGCCAGGACTCTAGGCCAGACTGAACTTCCCAGTTCATCATCATATTTTGTAAACAGGAAAACAAGAGTTAACTACATGATAGAGACTTTTGAGATACTTGTCTCTCAGAGCAGTGGCCCCAACCTTTTCGGCACCCAGGACCAGTGCTCCTATGAGAATTTAATGCCTGATGATCTGAGGCGGAGCTGAGAAGGTGATGCTAGCGATGGCGAGCGGCTGCACATACAGATGAAGCTTCGCTTGCTCAATGCCCCTCACCTCCTGCCCTGTTCCTAACAGGCCAAACACCAGTCCAGTCTGCGGCCTGGAGGTTGGGGACCCCTATCTTAGAGTGCTTCTTTCACTACCAAATTCTGTATATTACAATAATTAACTTGATATCTTGCCCTTTGTAGTTATTTCCTAAATATTTCAGCTACAACAGACATTTAGCCACTCTAGAAGTACAAAGAAGCTACAGGATGGACCATTCTTATCACCGGGATCGCCCTTTCAGCAAACTCCTTCTATCCATTTATTAGATGCAAGAACCAAGATAAGACTAAACGGTGTTTTTAAAAGTGATAATTTCCTTCTTTAATTTTTAAACCAGTTTCACCAAATAAGTTTACTGAACAAAGCATATCATTTTTGTACTTCAATGTTGTAAATTAAGTTAGTCACCTCTCTTAAAACCGTGCTTTTGTAGCCTCGATACAATCCTTGGATACCCTGAAACAAACAAAAGGCAGAAAATTCAGAAAATCAGAATAGCAGAAATTTGTGAATGACATTCTAAATAAATCATATTTACCTTTTCTAAAGTTTGAGTTGTAAATGTTCACAATGGCCACAGTTCTGTAAGAGGTTAAAGAACTAGCCTAAGGTATGCAAAGCTCAGGTCAGCTCCCTTTAAAATGGGAACATCTCTAGCAATAAAATTGACTACATATTAATGTAGCTTTAGTGGCTTTCAAAATTTCTTCTCCTGAAAAGAATACTTAAGATGTTTTAACTAAATACATTTCCAGAAGCAAATGTACACAGCATGCTGATTACCCTTTCATATAAAAACAGAATTATATTTCATAGTTTCAATCAAAAGACATCAGAAATTCATTAATAAACTCTCAGTAGCGTTAAATACCTCTGGACAAGCTTTGGCTTATCCGTTTAACTGTCTACATGAATAAACAGGGACCTTCTACCGTCTGGATTGATCTCATTCATACAATTAAATATTCAGTATCTCCTCACAGAGGGACCATTAAGAATAACTTTTCTAAAACCTAGACCCATTGAAATTTCCATGTGATTGACTTTTATAAAACAACAACAACAACAACAACAAAAACATTAAGGTTTCTCTAAAAAGTATACAGGAAGCAGCTCAATGGTCCCTAGTAACATGGCCAGGAGGAATGATTTCTGACCCACAGCTTAACACTAACCAGTAAGAAGAATTACATTTGACATAAACATTATGACACTGGTCATTAACATCAGTCTATTACTACACTTCTCTTCCATGGGTCCTCAAATTCTGTAATGACGTTTTAATATATCTTCATTCATTTTACATATTTACTATTTATTCCATGTCTGAATCCAGAAGAACTATATAGGATGATTACAATGTAGGACACATATACAACAGTGGCACTCAATATGTGTTTGTTTAGAAATTTTAAAAATGAAAATAAAAATTCGAAAACAAAGGAAAAAAACATTGACAATTTTAGCATAAAAAGTTACTATAACTAGACATTACATTTAGCTTTAAGGTCTCATCTAGGACTCCTAAGACTCATAGTGTTCCTACTAGCTACTATAAAATTTTTCTCAATCAAGAAAAGAGCTTAAAAACACATCTTACCTCTTGATATAAGATGTTTGAGAAAATTTGAAATGTTCTCAAAGAAGCTGAAACCTGTGCCCTCTGCTTAACTACTTCAGAAGGAACTCGAATCAGGCAGGCAACCTAAAATATATAAATTTAATTATATCCTAGCAAAGTAATAACTGTTATGAAAATTGAAATTTTTTCAAAAGCGAAAATTATAGTATCAAAAAACATATTGTACAGGCTTAGTGCAAGACATGAAAAGGTTTTTGGGTTTTTGGGGGGTTTTTTTGTTTTTAACCTAAAAGACCTAGAATCCTTAATGGACATCCATTGTTTTATCGGCACAAAACCTTTCCTCCCTTATTCTGTAAAGATCCTCCCACCTCCTGCCGTATTGTTCCAAGCACATCTATAAGCCCCTGGATAACAAGAAGCACATTTACTCATGTTGAACTCCCAACACCTATGGAATGACATCTAGTGTTCACACAACAGCCACTTCAAACATGTCTGATGAAAGAATGAACCAAAAAGGCCTTTGCTTTACTGGAAGTAACATGCACATTGGTAGAGGCAAAACTGATCATCAGCTGGTTACCCTTAACTTTCCATCTCACCCCACTGCAGCTCAACCAGCTCTCAGCCCCAGCACTCCAGCTCCCCTCACCATGTAACGAAGAAGTAACTCCAGGCACTCTCAGACCCTGCTCCGCCATTCAAGTTGACATAGGTCCTGGTTGGTCCATCCCCACCCGACTAGTCAACAAATAATTTTAACATTATCCTTCATGATAAGCCAGGAAGAGGTATATGCCACCTCAAACTTACACTTCTAGGACTCTGCCTTTAGTAAACTACTTATTTTCATAAATTAGAATAATAAAAAATTGGTCAATCACTCACACTTGTCATCAAAATGACAAGAAATAACAAGTGTTGGCCAAGATGTGGAGAAAAGAGAACTCCTGTGCTCTGTTAGTGAAACTGTAAACTAGTAAAGCCACTATGGAAAACGTGAAAATTAGAACTACCATATGATCCAGCAATTCCATTTCTAGGTATATAGCAAAGTAAACAATATCACTATCTCAAAGAGATATCTGCTCCCCTATGTTCATTGTGGCATTATTTATATTAGCCAAGACATGGAAACAATATGTTCATCAATAGATGAATAAAGAAAGTGTGGCATGCATATACAATGGAATATTACTTAGCCATAAAAAAGAAAGAAATCCTGCCATTTGTAACAACATGGATGGACCTTGAAGGCATTATACTAAGTGAAATAAATCAGAGAGCAAAAAACAAACCATATGATCTCACTTGCACGTAGAATCTAAAAAAATCAAACACATAGAAACAGAGAACAGACTTGCGGTTGTCAGAGGCAGGGGCTGGGAAGTGGGCAAAGGTACAAACTTGCAATTATAAGGTAAGTTCTAGAAATGTAGCATACAGCATGGTGACTATAGTTAACAATACTGTATTGAATATTTGAAATTGCTAAGAGTAGATCTTAAAAGCTGCCATTAGAAAAAAAAAATTTTTTTTTAATATACAAGGTGATGGATGTTAACTAAAATTATTGTGGTGATCATTTCACAATATATATATCAAATCTTTATGTTCTATGCCTTAAACTCATATAATCTTATATGTCAGTTAAATCTCAATAATCTTGAAAAAGAAAAATAAATGGTCAAACCAGAAGGAACTCTGCCCACAGAAGGACAGAAGGCAGGGGTGGGGAAAGGGCCTCAGGGTACAGGGAGGGAAACTATGAACTGATCTTTTAAACTGTTTTAATAGAAGTACTGTATTTTTAAGCCTCTACGCACTAGGCAGTCTACCAAAGGTGCAAATTTTTTCTGCAACTTAAGATTTCACGCACCTGACTCACGTTTTGCATATGGTTGAGGAAATTCCCTTTAAAACTTTTTGACTTCAAAAAAAAAATGTATACGCACACACACACACACACTTGTCTATTTATAGATATATATTTACATATGTGTTTATGTATACACATATATATACACATTATAAAATATGTAGTATATATAAATACATATATATTTGAGGCACAATAAGAAACGGAGGCAATCTTTCTTCAATGACACATGTAGTAAAATGGAAAGAGCAACAAGAAATTTAACAAAACCATCCCACCAAACTCAAAGAGGTTTGTCCTTTTCAATCTATATTCTCCTAATTCCTAATCCGAGATTATTGCCCAATTGGATACTTATGTAAGGCTTTATCTTTCCAATATTAAGTGGCTCTGAGGTATGGATCAGTAAACTTTTAAAGTAAAAGATGAAACAGCAAATATTTTGGACTTTGCAAGCCACTTGGTCTCTGTCGCAACCACTCAACTGTGCTTGGGAACACAAGAGCAGCCATAAAAATATGTAAATGAATGATATAGCTGTATTCCAATAAAACTTTATTTAGAAAAACAGATGGCAGTTTGCCAACCCTTGATGTAAGTAATTACACTGGCAAATTCTTCTTTGGTACAAGCCTTGGCAAGAGCAGAATAGGCAGGGATAGATACAGGTCTCAGTACTCTTGGAAACAAGGGCCAAAGATGGTATGTGATGTGATTCTAGATGTCATGGAGTCAGGTAAAAGGGGCATATCATCTATAAAAGATAGCTCAAAAGCAACAATGCTTTATGTTAACGCACTACAACAGGTATGGTTATAACAAAGAATTCATCACCTGAAGTCGCTTTTTCTCAAAACTGACAAGACTTACAAAACAATATAATCTGATTTCTGTTTCTTAATTCATCAAATATTTGAATGCTTTTTGTTTGCAAAGATATCTGCAATATGAGTTAACATACCTTTCCACTCACAGTCTCCCTTCAAACTTACCTAATTCAGTTGAACAAAAACACCTGAGCCAAATATTGCTGCAAGGTAAAGAAGAATAAGATGGTTCCCTGGCCTCAAAGAACCCACAGCTACATATAGATAATTTGAATAATATATGGCCAAATAAAAAGAGGCATATACAAGTAATAAGGCAAACAGGAGGGGCACTAGACTCAGGGAAAACTGCCAGAGGTTATGCCTTCACGGAGCAGTCCAAATTAGCCAGAATTAGCTGGCAAGAAAGGTGAAAAGGGCAAGATGGGGAGAAAAAAACATGAGTAGCCTGGCTCATACCTTCCAGCATCACCCTGTCACACGACTGGGTCCAGCACAAGAAGTATAGGCCTCCTCTTTTTTCTTTGATGCCTCCCAGCAGTGTCCACTTGCATGTGTTGGCGAGAACTACATGACATGGCCATCCTCTATTAGGAAGGCTGAGAATGTATAAGTCTAGTAAAGAGTTGATGGCACTGCTACCCAAACCAAATCAGTATTCTGTCGGCAAGTGAGACAGGGAAGGCAAATTAATAGTGTCTGCCAACCTTCTAAAAAGAATCTTTTTTCCATAGGTTACTCAAGATCAATTTCAACTGAAAGCAACCAAGAACTGTACTTAATATTCAAGAGGGACAGAAATTTGTAATGGAGATTTGTAGAACAAGGGATCAAGAGTCCCAAGCAATGTACACACGAGGGTTAACAGAATTCACCAAAACTATTTCGATGGAGGGCTGGGACAGGAGACTCATTACAGAGAACTCGTAAGTAATTTTGAGATAGAGACAGACAGATGTAGACTACTACTACAAGAAGGGGGCTAAGGCACGAGGAGATGGGGTTACAGTTAAAGGTAGTTGTTTTTCTTATTTTATTTGGGATGATAAATAGCTGCACATAGGATGGGGAAGGTGGTAGCAGCAAGGCAGAAGTTAACAATCTAGGAAAGAGAAGCGATAATACATATAAATTCCAGAGGCTATGAGAAAAGGCAGAGTCAGCAGCCTTTGCAGATGCCTACACTGCTGTGACTATCTCCCTTTGCCCAGGCTGCCCCTCAGCCAAGGGTGACATTTTCTGCATCTACATCAGACCTTTCCTTCAGGGCTCAACCCCAGAAGGGAATGAGCAGGGGCTAGTTTAGGTCTCAGACCTAGACTGTGGCCAAGTTCTGTAAGTGAACTCTGAAATGTTCCCTTTGCCTTCTGGGGTCTGATTTTTTTCTTATTTGACTTGGTCCAGAAACCTTTGTAAGATCCTTTTAAGTCTTGATTTCTATAATTCTTAATTTTCCTCAATCATATCCTCTCTTCTTTACCTCAAAAGAATCTTTACTCTTCAAATAAACTATTTCCTCCTTATTCTTATTTCCCAAAATTATCTTACCTGACATTTTTTACTTATTAACTTATACCACATAGTTTTTCATATATATTATTTTCTCTTCTACTAAACTATAAAGATAAGGAGAAAATATGCATCGACGTTACAAATCAAAGGGAAAGAATCTCTCTAAAGTATTTTTCCCTAGCTTTATTTAGGTATAACTGACAAAATTATATTTACTATTTTTTTGTATTATTTTATGACAAAAGTAGACTACACAAGAGGAAGAATAACACCAAAACTCAATCATTTCCACAGAAATGACCTTACCGATACTCCAGAATTTTTTAAATATATATTTTTCTTTGTATTGAATAGACCGCCTATATATAGTTATATAAAGACTAGAAAAAAATAGAGTGGGATTGCAGGTGATGTTTCTCCTTCTTTTTTACCTACCTATATTTTCTAAAGTCTCTACAATAAATATGTATTATTACTTCCTAAGTATTTTTTAAAATGATTTTAAAGGGCAAAAATATTTGCTATGGACCAAAGATTCTAAGTGAGAAAATAAAATGAAAAAACTACTTTAAAATGTGTTTTTAGATACAATCCTATTTATTAGCCTTGACCAAAAAAAAAAGTATTTTTAATTTAATGACAATAACATGCACAAAAACAGATTAAACAGCTTATATCAAGGCCTACGATTAGTATAAATTATGTTACCTTTGATAAGAGTGAACTTTTAAATCTACCCTCATAAAACCAAAATAGAAAATAAAGTCCTGTGAAACTTACATGAACCTAAAAGGATAGCTCCCAGCATCTAAAACTCATTAAAGAAATGAAAATAAATAAATAAAAAAGAAAAAAGATAGAAAAGGGTATGCTAACTCCTTATATTTTTCAATTCAAGAGGT